TGGTTCAAAATACTTTGTAAAATTGTTTCAAAAAATATTTTAAGTTTAAAACACAATTTTACACTTTAGTAAGGATTGAAATTGATCTTTGAAAAACTTGGAGTAATATTTTGATATTCGAGTAATTGAATCGAATATACTTTAAAAATGATTTATAAAATCTTAAAATTCATTTATACTTAATTTGTTATATCAAAACATCAAAATGTTTTCAACATTACTAAAATTTATAGTCACAAAACTTGTCATTGTATGTCATTTTTTTGCGCTAAAAAATGGAGGGAAACATTTATAACAAAAATGGTAACAAAATATATATTATCACCATATGCTACACAAATCTGCTAATTGTGATAAAATATTGCAACGATTTTATTTTTTGTCACAATTGTATATATTTTACTAATTTAATGTGACACTTATTTATTTTGTCAAAAAAAATATTAGCAGTGACAAACAATTTTCACATAATTAAATTTGTAATAGTGTACCTTGACAATTGTCATCTTTCCAGAATTTTTCATAATCACCTGATGACTAAGCACTTGATGCCAGTTTTGCACAATGATTTGGTGCAGCATCGCTTCACATCATTGCCTACAACGTAGAGCATTGCCACAACATTAGCGTACTATATTCAACATAAAAACAATAAAAATAGCTCAAGTTCCACCAACCATTCTCATAATACCAATGATGCAAAATATGATAAAATAAACTTAAAATGTTCCTAATATGATCCTAATGATAATAAAATTCAAGCTTAATCTAGGTAAAAATATCTTAAAAGATAACTCTTTTGTAGAGTTATCAGCTACCACTAATCAGGCGTTCGTCACCCGAGCTATTCTCGGCCAATTCAATAGATTTTTTGGGCATAAGGTCAACTCTAGCAAGAACAAAGTATTCTTTTCTAATAATGTATCTGATAATCCGGCTAACGACCTTTATTCTTTGTTGGGTTTCTAACATTTCTTTAACTTGGACTCTTATTTGGTATGCCTCTTTTCCACAATCGAATCACTAAAATTATCTTTCAATTCATTGTGGATAAAGTCCATGCTAAGTTGAATAATTGGACGACCTCAAAATTATCCCTAGCTGGTTGTAATACTCTTGCCAAGTCAACTCTGTTGGCAACCCCTAACTACTTTATGCAGACGGTGGCCATTCCTAAAGGGGTTTATGAGAAAATTGAGGCGATTGCTTGCCACTTCATTTGGGGTGGTATGGACAAGCATTCGAAAATTGCCCTCGTTAAATGAGACTCGTGCTGTCAACCTATATCCCATGAAGGGTTGGGCTTACCCTTCTCCCGACTCAGAATGAAGCGTTTTTTATTAAGCTTGGTTATAATATTTTGATGCAGCCCGATTGGCGTTCTGATCTTTCTAAGGTTTGGTGTTTTATTAGTAATAACGTTCGTTGGTCTATTGGAAATGGATAGAGCACGAGATTATGGTATAATGCCTGAATCCCGGGGAAAGGTTCGCTTGTGGATCGTGTCAATGATGTTAGTGTTTGTGACCCTGATATTACGGTAAGCAAATTCACCAACATTGATGGGAACTGGGGTTTGGATAAATTACGACTGTTAGTGGACGAATATACCATCTGTGACATCACCGCTATCCCCCCTCCCACTAGCGAGGCTGGTGCTGACCACCCTACTTGGCTTTAGGAGCCTTCAGGAAGTTGTACTGTTAAGACAGCTTACCATGAGCTTCACCATAATTCTTACGACTGGAAAGACAACATATGAAATATGGCTTGAAGCTTTGATGGTCCTCAACGAGTCAGAAATTTCATATGGCTCATCTCGAGAAACCGACTTTTGATCAATGTGGAAAGAACAAGACATGGAATATCGTTGAATCCCAACTGCCCGGTTTGTGGAAAAGTGAAAAAACCATTCTCCACAGCCTTCGGGACTACACTTTCATCAATAACTCTTGGTCGCAAGTTTTGTCGACACATAAAACAGCGAGTTTCCTTTTTCTTTCTCTTATTGATTGATTGAAGTCTAACCTCAATGATATTGCAGGGGCAGACGATGGCTCTTATCGGTGGAGACATCTATTCGAGATCATGCTGTGAAGGATATGGAAGCAAATATGTAACTTCATCTTCAGTAGAGTAAGTTGGTCCTCGACGGCGATAATCCAGGCTGCGTGATCCTGGGCACAGTCGATTAATGCTAGACCGAAGAACTGCCCCCAGCACATTAACCGGGTGACTAGGAGCTAAGCTCGGAAAACTCTGAGCATTGGAGCTGTCAAACTCAACACGAATGGTGCGATTAATCAAAATTCGGTGGAAGAAGCAGGAGATGACATCATCCGCAACCACGATAGTGACTGGATCATGGGCTATAGTCGCAATATCGGGCGTTGTTCAGTCCTCCACGCTGAGCTATGGGACCTGTTGGACTGTTTACAAATAGCTTAGAAGAATCGGGAGAGAAGCGTCACGATTGAGATGGATAACGCTGAAGAAATCAGAATGCTCATTTCCCCTAGTCAAGGCTATGAACTGGCATTAATTCAGAGAATCCGAGAGCTCCTGCAACGAAGCTGGATGATCGAGCTCTCTCTTATCTGCCGGGTACCAACGGCGTTGTTGATGCTCTTGCCCGATATGGCTACATGATGCCAGTGGGACTGTCTAAATTGCAAAGCCAGCCTGTTGCTATTCAATCGCTTCTTCAAGTTGGTATGCAGGCTTGGAGAAGAACTCCCAACAACTGTTAAGCAATTAGTTTTCTTTGTTACCAATATATATATATATATATATATATATATTCATCTTGTATTTTATTCACACATTCAATATGAAACTATAAATTAAAAATAGAAATTTGTATAATAGAAATATTATTTATTAATTGATCATCAATTGACTACTTAAAAAATTATTTGAAAAGAATAAAACTTTGAGATTTAAATCGTCAAAGAAAATTATAAGGCTATAATGAAGAAAGTGACAAAATGGATAAATTTTTTCGTCTTTATACTTTTTAATGTAATTTTATTTATATAAACATAAATTAGTTAATAGCCATTAAAAACAGGTTTTGAAACACTGGGCTTCGAACTGCTGCCCTAATAATCATAATTCAAACTAGTCCTAATCCATTTTTCTTATCGTTTTAGACACGATGGATTAAGGGGTATTGACTGTGGTCGCATCGTTCAAAATTTTTATTTTTTTTTTATAAAAATCAGTTAGTTTTATTAAAAATAGAAAATATCAAACTATAATGAAGATTTACGAGCATAATCATAACCATAAACGTAAACTAAATGATAATTAGGACATTTTTCTATAACCATTAACACAAAAACTAGGCACCTAGATCACACAATGACCATAAAAGGAAAAGGTTAAAAAACCTAACTAATACTCAAATAAAATAAAGATACGAACAAATTTGACTGTATCAGAAAACGAACCGCAAAAGGGGATGAGACTACTGAAAGAACACTGACAAATCACAAATCAGAGTCAAGCGACGTGAAAAAACTATCCACGAGCGCAAAACGTGTATCTAAATCAATCCGAGTGTCCAAAGCAAAGAAGATCGGCAGGATAACAAATAAGTGCTATCTTGATCAGTCGTGGCGATGTCAAATACAATCCTGTGCAAAAAGTTAAACGGAAAAAGGGAAAAAATCGTAAGCAATCAAAAGACAAAAAAAAAAACAGGCCACAAATACAAAGATAAACGTGTCATATAGACAGAGAACATATGTCACAAAAACATAATTATTTTTATTAAAAACTAAAACACAAAGAAAAAGATAATCGTTGGACGGCAACCAGCATCAAAACTAGTGTCGTCGTCGATTAAACAAAATTAAAGAAGAAAAAGTTGGATTAATTGGCACAAGTTGTAAAGAAGAAGAAAGAGAGAGAGAGAGGAGTAAGAAAGCAACTAGGTGTTTTTAAAAAAAAATTAAAACTTTTTTATATTTTAAGATTTTCGTATATATTTTTTTGATAATCTAATTTTAGGCTTTCTAAAATTTGATAACTTGCTTAAAATTTTTAATATAATTTTTCACTTTAACCCCTGAGATAAATTCTTACGTTGGTCTCTAATTTCCTACCTGACTCCATTTTTATCGTCCTCGCTTTAGAAACCCAATATCACCCTTCAATGCATAGCAGAGAAGTTTAAATTATCTTAATACCGAATATACCGATGACAATAGCATTCTTCTTATCCATATATAAACCCAGTCTAATTTAGAAAAATGTAGATGAAAAAAATAATTAAGAAAATATAGTTATTTGATAATTAATTTGGAATTTAGATAATTTGTTATAATGTATTCAGGATTTGTTATGTAAATATGAAAATCTCTATAAAATATGACGTATAATTAGAATTTTCTGAATAAAAGTTGTATGGAACTCGTTATGTTTATCCGAGGAATTTTAATTAATTATTAATATTTTATAAAACTCATCATATCTCTACTATATATTTACACTATATGTTAATGATCTAAATCTCAAATTACTCTCCCAGAACCTGCATTTCCCAAAATTCTTTTCACATTTGGAATATTTGACCAACATAACCTATCAAACCATTACTCTATCTTGAATTTTCTCTTAGCTAAGTTTCATTCTGAATGATACTTTTTTTTTTAAATATGATTGATTATTTTAAATAATTAATTAATTATACAATTAATTATCGGTTTAATAACGAACCCACTAATCTCTCCATCTCTCTCTCCTTTAACAATTTTGTCTGAGAGAGGAAGCTGAGGAGTTACAGGTAGCATCAATTCTCAACCGTTGGATTAATCACCAGCTCATCACTACTGATCTTTATTTCTACATGTGGCTTTTCCCAAGCCTTGCTTTAAGCTAAAATTCTCTCTGTCTTAAGCTTCTGTCATGGGTTTTTCGTTCTCTTCCCTTTTAAATCTTTTCGTTTAGGTCTCTTTCCATGGAAGAAGTAAGAGGGAGAAGTGGAGCTTTTGGTCATGGGAATTTACTGTTCAACAAGAACAAGTCTTGCGTATAAATCAAGTCCACCATTATCTGCAATAGACAGGTTTTTATGGGGTCAAACTCAAAGCCTCTCGTCTCAGTTTCCCATACAAAACAACGCGAAGATCAGCAAAGGAACAGTGCTCAGTTCAACCAGTACAGATGCCTTAATTGGTGGCTATTTAGCAAGGCAAAATAACCTTGAGGAAAGCTTTGTTGGTGGACTTTTTGTAGATGGCAAAACCCTTTCTTTGTCAGATGAGAAAAACCCTAACATGGAAATGGAAGTTAAAGGTAATTTGAAGAGAAACAAGAGAGTTGCTTCTGCAGCTCTGATCAAGGGTCAGTGGACAGATGATGAAGACAGGTGATGAATAAAACAGTTCCATTTTCTTTTAAGATTTAGCTTTTGTTTTTGTTTTTCATTAATGGGCTTTAGAGCAAATCAAGGATAAGAAACATTCTAGGTTTTTTTCTTCTTCTTGTGGTTGATATTATTATTATGTATAATTTATAGGAAACTGATAAGGTTGGTGAAGCAATATGGAGTACGGAAATGGGCACAGATTGCTGAGGGTTTGGTTGGTAGAGCCGGAAAACAGTGTCGAGAGCGGTGGCACAATCATTTACGCCCTGATATCAAGGTCCCTCTTCTTCATCTTCTCCTCTAAATGATCAAATAAAACTGAGTTTTTACTAGCAATCAATTGGTTTAGTGACGTAAGACACTAGATCTATTAAGGCCAAAAATTTAAATTTTAATATTTACGGTTGAAGTAAACTGAGTTGCGATATTCGTCATAATAAACCTCTGCAAAACGCAATTTGAAATGGTTGATCAATATATTAGATATAGTGTTTGTTCATTATATTTTCTTTTTGTCACGAAATCTATGCATATTATCAAGCCCGAAATATATGCTAAAGACAGATATAGGACTGGAAAAGGATGAAGCATAGTAGAATATATATACTATATATATAGATTTAGGGTTTTCCTTCATGAGGTTAAAGAATTCCTTTCTCCTTCTTCAGTTAGAAAAGTCTGAAGGCTTTTTGGTTTTACCTAAAACTATAATTACCTTGACATGCAAATCATATGCTTCGGGGTTCAGTTAGTTTTAGTTCTGTGATGATTTTCATGTGAAATCTGGGAATGTTTTAAGCTAACAAAGCAATAATTCCGTCATAAAAAAGGGCTTGCCTTTTAGGCTTTTTTTTCCATAACAAAATTAACTTCTTTTTATTATATCATTACTTTTTTGGAAATGAAACTGTCAATTGCGTCATGTTTTTGTTGCAGAAAGATAGCTGGAGCGAAGAAGAAGAGAAGATCTTAATTGAAGCTCATGCAAAAGTTGGTAACCGATGGGCGGAGATTGCAAAGTTCATCCATGGAAGAACTGAAAACTCCATAAAAAACCATTGGAATGCTACAAAAAGGAGGCAAAACTCGAGGAAGAAGAACAAACAAAACGATAATCAAAGTGGCAAACCACAATCTTCTGTTCTTCAAGATTATATTAGAAGCCAAAATCTGAACACCAACAACCGGACCACCACCACCGTTACCCAAACCAACAGCTCCACCACCTCCGCAGCCGCTTCTAGCTTCACATTCTCCGAATCCGATGATTCTCATCCCTTGGTTGCTCAAACATACGATGATGAACTTCTCTTCATGCAGAACTTATTTGCAAATAACAACAATAACCTTCACCCCATATTTTCTGATAATCACAGCGGCTTCTCCTCTTCTGCTGTGGAACCAAACTTGCCTACAAAGAAGCTTAAACAAAACGAGCCTCGAACCACCACCTACATGTTTTCCGATCTCTACTTGTCTAGCCTGTTGAATGGAGCAGCCCCTTCGTCATTTCCGAATGGCCATGGATCATACAGTGCCGATGTGAACTCTGATCTCCTGTCGGAGCAGGCTTCTTCAGATGAAAGAAAAGAGATGGACTTGATTGAGATGGTTTCTTCCTCTCAATTCTACCGGTAGCAACTTATGGTTTGCTGTTTTTCAGCACGTAGATACCTCATTTTAGGCGTTATTAACGACTTTGTTATGAAGAATCCTGGGTTTCTTGAAGGAGACTGGTTATGGGAATAAGTATGGAATGGTGAACTCCTTGATGGGGTTGGCTCTTTTCCACTCAAGCTTTGAGTGAAGGAATCTGTCATGGTTTTAGACAATGAATGCTTTTGTGAATTTTTCAGCTTTTGTTTGGTGGACTTCAATCATTTTTCATTGGTTTATGAATCTGTTTTTTGTTTACTTCAATTTGTTTGCTTAACCCATCTAATTCTCTTTCGTTAACAGCATTAATAATAGAATTATTCATTTTTTTTATTTTTATTAATATGGAAATATCATAAAGTAATATTTTTTCATAATTTTTTTTAGTAAATTGATAATGAATAAACACACCTACAGATGAAGTTGTTCGAATCTGTAATCTTTAGAGGGAACAAAATTCTATTTTTACTATTAAAGATCATATAAAATCATATCACATATTCTTAAATTGGTCTATGAGAATTTTTCACTCCACCCATGAAAAAATAAATGTCTATATAATATTTGAATTATTAAGTAATCTTAATGATAAAAAATATTTTTTAAAAGAATTTGAAAGTGTATTGCTATATCTAATCCATATAAAAATCATCCACATAATATTCCCTTCACATTTCGAAGTTGTTTTCATTGAGAATATTTCATGTCCAGTCATTAGAAATTTCGATTGAGAATGGACAGGATCAACTATATTCTATGTATATGTGAATTATTGACGAAGAAAAAATGTGTTCAAAATCCACTTATCCCATTGTCAATATTTGACAATTCCAGCATTATTGATTGAAGTCAAATGGGCGTAGATAAAATTAAGGTCTTTTTTCCCTTTCATTTCTTAAAAATATATATAATTAGGGTAAACTACACATTTAGTATTTAAACTATCAATCTTAATCTGTTTTAATACCTAAACTTTCAATTTTTTAAAACCATACCTAACGTTTAGTTTTCATTTCATTTTAGTACTCCGTCGTTAAAAACTTAATGTGTTTACTACTAAACTATCAATTTTGGTCCGTTTTAATACTTAAACTTTCATTTTTTTTCAAAACTTAACGTTAAAATTTAAGGGTACTAAAATAAAACAAAAACTAAAGTTTTTAACGGTAGGGTACTAAAATAAAACAAAAACTAAAGTTTTTAACGGCGGAGGTACTAAAATGAAATAAAAACTAAAGTTTTTAACTGTGGGGTTACTAAAATGAAACAAAAACTAAAGTTTTTAACGGTGGGGTACTAGAATGAAATAAAAACTAAAGTTTTTAACTGTGGGGGTACTAAAATGAAACAAAAACTAAAGTTTTTAACGGTGGGGCACTAAAATGAAACAAAAACTAAACTTCTTGTATGGTTTGAAAAAATTGAAAGTTTAGATACTAAATCGAACCAAAATTAATAATTTAGATATTAAACACATAATTTACCCATACAATTAATCCACTCTTTAGAGTTTTTTAAGTTCCAAAAAATATATTTGAAAAGTTCTATATGAGTCGTAGAATTATATAAGTTCACTTATCTGTGACTTAAAAACAATCATACATGGACCAAAGAATTTTTTTCCTTTACAAATTATAAATCAAATCTTAATTCTACTTAGAGAATAGGGGAAGGAGATTCTAAAAAAAGAAATGAGATTGCTCCTAGTGAATCTAGAACACATGACCTAAGGAAATAAATACAAGGAAACAAAGATAAATAACTTAGACGACAACCGAACAAATATACTTGCCCATGGACCAAAGAATTTTTATTTTGTTATATGCTTCTGTAACATATTTTTCCTATAACCAATATAGTCCTATATTTACTCAGGATTTCGTTATACTTATAATCTTCTATTTATTTAGGATTAAGAGAGATTTATGTATTTTTAATCTTTATATAGATTTAAGATCTTAATTCATATTGGATTTAATGCAATGGGTTGTCAGTTCAAATTAACTATAACACCTCTAACTTGATCAAGCCGTGAATCAAATAAATGATGTCACATTGAAAGATCGGAACAAAATCTAAATCAAACTTAGATATAATGATAGATTTATGGCCATTCAAATACAAGTAGGGACTTAAATGCAATCAATATAAACATGGAAACTATTCTACAAATTTTGTTTAATTGATGGACCATTTAGACAATTTTATCTGATTTAGGATATTGGTATTGATTCTATACTATGAGTACCAATATTGTATGAACAATACTGATACTATTGAACAATATCGATACAAAACTAGTATATTGTGCCCCCGGTTTAATTGGTTAGAACCGATACTATCATTTAATTATTGATATTGTTGGAAATGTAAAAATTAGCTGACCTTATTCTCATATGTAATGGGGTAAGGGAAGGTAGGATAGTAGGCTGCCCCCAACTCCAGGTTGAGAGCAACTTCCGTGGGAGACCTCCAGCATTATAAATTGATACTTAATTTTAGTATCCAAATCATGAAATTTGCTTATAATATCGATACTCTCATAAATATTATAAATACCTCCTACTTATTTGGTATCGATACCGTCCATATATTATCGATATTAAATATATTAAATATATCATTTTTCACCTTTATATTTATCTTATTCCCTTCAAAACATTCAAAAACATCATATATATCATCGAACTAAGTTATTCCACTTCAAAAATATAACTCAAACATACCAAAATCATATGTAATTCACTAAAGTTATCATACACACTTACCTACTATATTATGCATTTCAACCTAAGTTCATCATGCACTAAGCATGTTCACATATCAACTTACCATGTTCTTTATAGACTAATGAATGTTTCATGTGTAATATCCTAACCAATCTGATTTGAAGATCATTCGATCATAGTATTACACGGGATCACTGAAATAGCTACCCATAATTATTCTTTAAAAATACATGGAAATCAACATTTTAATTATCATTATTTAAAACCATAAAGTAAAAAAATGAGTATTTAAGTTTACAAATGGGGAACTCCCAAATAGGTTCCAAAATAATATAATTCAAATATTTTTCAAAATAAAGTTACAATTCAATAACATGAAGGTCTATGAATAGTACATGCTCTCTAATAAATGATTCAAAATGTACTTTGTTGCTCTGAATGGTCTGGAAAGTTAGCTGTGTGATTGCTCCTCGAAGTTTCTCCTAAGAACCTACGCACGAAAACAAATTCTGAAGACTAAGCTCACAAGCTCAGTGTCACACTAATAACTAAATTATACTATGTGTATCCACTAAGTAGTCATGGTAGCACGTAAAGACATAAGCATACAAGTATACTAAACACTGTTGAGGTAGGCATCATGGTGTAGTCGGGAGGTTCGCTACATCTCGGGACACACACCCCTCTAGCCTACCTAGGGTGAGATTCAAAATTTATGCATCGAAACATACACCCAACCGACCTACTCCTTATGAGTAAGTAGGACATCCGTGCGTGGCCAATAACTAAAGTGCCTTGGCACTAGCTAAGATATATTTGTATATTCTAAACATGCAAGATGAGCATCATACTGCTAAAGTAACTCGGGTGTCCTGACTATTTCTCGAGCATCATACAATGACTAGTTTTATGTCACCTTAGTTCATATTGTTTCTAATTGTAGGTGTTTTCAATGATTATTCTCACTTGTAGTTTTATTTGAGAAAGTTTTGGCGTTATTAGACCCCTTTCCAAAACCCTTGGTCAAATTGGGTTCCTTACTCGATTTAGGATAATGGTACGAATACTATGCCTTTTAGTATCGGTACTGACCCTTGGCATCGATACACACCCTTTGTATCGATACCAAATCTAGCTATTGGAATCTGAGAAGGCTTAACGACATTAATACCCTTAAATGTTATTTAAGTCTTATGCACAATTAAAGGAATCATAAAAGGTTAATTTTCATGCTAAATAACATCATAATTGAAATTTACCATGATTGTGCTCATATTCTTTAGAACTCATGCAAGCTAACTAAGAACGTCTAATGACTCACAAATTGTATAGAGAAGTTATAAATGTGTTACTTTGAATCCTAAGATGTTGGAATGACTCAAGTCTCAACCAAGAACTAGTTTTTCTTTTCCTTTGGTCTTAGAGCTTTCTCTAACCTCTTTTACAAATCAAAGATAAGGAAAATGAGTTACTAACTCATTTAAGAACTTAGAGTGAAGTTAAGAACACTTCCTAAAGCTTGAATCTACCAAAAATGAGATGGAACATATATATTTTCTAACCCCCACTTATGGTTACCATGACCAAAACTTTATATTAAGGGCTTGAATGAAAGCTATAGTGATGGAGATTTTGATTCTTACCTCACTTAATCCATTAAGGATTACAACACTACAAAGCTTTCACCTTTGATGGTTCTAGTTTAAGGGGAAAATAAGAGAGATGAAAAGAGGAGAATAAGAAAAAAGAGTTAAGAAAAAGATGAGTTTCAACCGTGACCTCACAACCAATTAAGGGGAATCAGCCTTTCAAATCCTTAAGGGTAAAATTACCTCTTTGATTCTTCCTCATTTTCTACTAAATCAAAAATATTCTTTTTATCGTTATTTGGGATTTATCCAAGCCAAAACCTACACAACTTTGGGTCAAGTCTTCTTACAAGGTTAATGGGTTACCGTAAACTCTCTCTTGGGTTATCAAAAACTACTAACCCGGGATTTAGGGCATTACAACTCTCCCCTCTTAATAAGAAATTTCATCCTCAAAATTTACTTGGATAGAAGAGATATTGATATTGAAGTTGCATGTATTCTTCAGTTTCCCATGTCACCTTCTCGACACCATGGTTTCTTAAAAAAACTTCACTAAAGGAATCATCTTTTTTCTTAGCTCATTTCATTTTTTGTCAAAATTCTTATCGACTCTTTTTAATTGGTCATGTCTTGCCTCACCTCGATTTTCTCTAAAGGTATGACACGAGAAGGATCGGAGCGATATCTTTTGAGCATGGACACGTAGAACAAATTATGAATACGCTCTAATTTTGAGGGTAAATCAAACCAGTAAGTTACGTAACTTATAAGGTCTTATGAAACACAGAGTCAACTTTCTCTTATGCCCAAATCGAAGCACTTTCTTCCAT